GTGTGTGTGTGTGTGTGTGTGTGTGTGTGTGTGTGTGTGTGTGTGTTGAGGGAGAAATGGAAATAGAGAGACAGAGCGGGGAACTGATAGAACGTGAGACAGAAAGAGAGAGAGAAAGGAAGGGAGACCAGCAGAGGAACAGCAGGAGTTAGTTGCAGTAGATGGAAGTACAGGAGAGGATCTCCCTGCAGGCTGCCTGCCTGGGACGGCAGCCTGTCCCGCCGAGCTGTAAGCCGGCCTCCTTTGAGGAGCTGGGGCACTCGGTGTCGTGTGGTGGGGACAGCCCACAGCAGCCAGCCACAGTGCATGTGTGCTTTCAAGGACTCCCTGAGGGCACACTGTCCACTGTGCCCTCCCTAGGCCCAGACAGCCCCATCTCCCCGGCCAAGGAGCTGGCCCACAAGGAGCTGGCCCACAGGGAGCTGACCCACGCAGTGCGCAGGCAGCAGCGGGCGCTGGAGGAGCACCTGGAGGCCTGCCTGGAGGAGCTGAGGAGACTCTGCCTGAGGGAGGCGGTGAGCACTTTGCTAGCCCACCTGGCATGCCCGCTCCATGGACCACACCTGCTGCTAACCAGGAGCCACGTTTGGGGTGTTCGGGCTGAGGCCTTCCCTGTTCCTGAGGGAGTTCTGGGCAGCCTGGGGTACAGGGCCCAGAGGCCCTCTGGGTGCAGCCCCTGGATCTGGGGCCTGGACAGGTCTGTGGAGAGAAGGGGGGTTTGCACGGCCCAAGCAGGGAAGGACACCTGTGATCAAGGACCCCTGGTGGCTCGATGGTTAAGCACTTGGCTGCCAACCCAAAGGTCGGTGGTTTGAACATTCCCAGTGACTCCCTGGGGGAAAGACTGTGGATCAGTTCGCATAAAGCGTACAGCCAAGAGAGCCCTCAGGGACAGTTCCCCTCTGTGACATGGGTCCTTCCTTCGGGAGGAGCTTGGAGGGAATTGGATGGCTCTGGGCAGTGCGAGTTCAGAGTGACCGCTTTGGGTAGAGGGTGGGAGGGGTGCATACCAAGGCCTCTTGGAAGACAAGGCACTATCATGCAGACCCCGGTGGCAGGGTGCCTGGCTTGACGTTGTTTTTACCTTAGGAGCTGACAGGCACGTTGCCAGCAGAGTACCCCCTCAAACCGGGGGAGAAGGCCCCCAAAGTCCGCCGCCGGATTGGAGCTGCTTACAAACTGGACGAGCAGGCCTTGCACAGGAAGGTGAGAACTTCGGAAGGCCACCCTGGCCCTCTCCTCCCAAAGATTTATCAATGAGCCCGTGGGCTCCCAGACCATGGGAGTACTTAAAGACACAGTCCTGAAGCCCAGCACCCATGCCTTACAAGGGTGCTTGGCCCCACGTCCCATGGAGAGGGACAGGCAAGGGCCACCCACCAATGTGTAACCAAAGGAGCCGAGAGAGCCAGGCTCTGGAGCGAGGACCCTGGGCTTGGTCACCAGTGGGCGAAAGACCAAGTCACCAGCCCTGACGGCAAAAGCGTGTTCTGACAGATTACTCAGCCCGAGGGCTATTCTCTCCTCTTTCTCAGCATAGGTGGGGGAAGCTCCAGCCCTGTGAGTGGTGACAGGTTCTCATGAGCAGCCACTTGGCTAACCTTCCCAGCCCTTCGGGGTCAGAAGGGAAAGTGCCCCACTTTGGTGGCTGCCTTGCCTGGCACCGCGGGCGGGCTCCAGGCCTGCTTTTCAGGCAAATGGAGACGGCGCACGCTCCTGGCATCACCCACCGCTCCACCCTTTGACACTGCTGTGCCCTCCCCCTAGATCGATGCCCCCCACCCCCCTGAGCTCCCCGCCTCTCCTCTCCCCCCTCCCCTCGCGCAGGACCCGCTGAGCGGCCTGGAGCAGGAGCTGGCCCTGCAGCTGCAGATCGCGGAGGCGGCGCGGCGGCTGTGCCGGGAGGAGAACATCAGCCGGCAGGCCCGGCGGCAGAGGAAGCACGCCATGCTGCACGAGGAGAAGAAGCTGCGGCAGCTGGAGCGCTGTGTCGGGGAGCAGCGTCGCAACAGCGCCACCCCTCCTGACGCCCTCCCGCTGGGCCGAGGTGAGCCAGAAGCTTCCAGACTCCATGGGCCAGGCCAGCCTGCCGTGAGCTCCCGGGGGACCATAGGCAGCTTGGTTCTGTTTACATGTGTTTGCAGTACTGCCTGTGGTGCCCGGCTCTCTTTCATGTTCCCAATCCACTCCCGAGGGGTGCACCTCCAACCAGTTGCCCTGAAGTTGACTCACAGTGTCAACTCCAGCACCCCCAGTACCACACCCCACAGTCCCAGTAGAAGTGTGCTCCAGAGGCTGAAAAAAATAGTTGAAGCAAGATCACCAGGCCTTTCTTCTGAGATACCTCTGGGTAGACTTGAGCCTCAACCTTTTGGCTAGTAGGTGAGTGCTTTAGCCATTTGCACCACCCCGGCTGCCCAGACCTGCCTGTTATCCATCCTTCTCTGCAACCCTAGGGAGGCACAGGCCTCCATCCTGGGAGGGCCTCATTCTCCCTCCTTCCTTCTGCCAAACCAAACCAAACTCACTGCCCTGGGGTCGGGCCGACACATGTCTATTGAGCACAGGTAGAACTGCCCCTGGGAGTTTCTGAGATTGCAACTCTTTATGGGAGTAGAAAGCCCCATCTTTCTCCCATAGGGTGGCTGGTAGTGTCGAACTGCTGACCTTAAGGTTAGCAGCCAATGCATATGGAACCACTATAGGACCAGCACTCACTCCTCCTTCCTTCCTTCCTTCCTTCCTTCCTTCCTTCCTTCCTTCCTTCCTTCCTTCCTTCCTTCCTTCCTTCTATTTCCCCCTCAAATAGAGCACCTTCCAGAGGACTTCTGGACAGAAGCTGTTGCCCCTTGGCCCTGAGTCTAGCCTGCAGGGTTTACCTGACTGGAGACCCCCAGGCCCTCAGAGAGGGGGGGCTCATCTAGGTCTGGGTGATGTGAGGCATCTGTGAGCCAGGCTCGGAGGTGATGGGCTTGGCTTGGCCTGAGAGAGGCTGTACCTGAGGCAACCCCTGCTGGGCACAGCTAAGCCCTGAATTGTTTCGGAGGGCCACAGCCATTCATGGAGACATCTGACTTAAAATCCAGCACCCCCAGTACCACGCCCCACAGTCCCTAAGTGTCGCTCACCAGCCTGGTCAAGAGTGGAATCCTTCCGTTCTGCTCTCTGCGCCCGTGCGTGGTGCCTGTAGTCTGGCCCCTCAGCACCTTGGCCTGTGGAACAGTGCCTGCAGGGCATCCAGTGAAATGTCAATGTCCTGAGCCAGCCAACAAGTGTCTCTTTGCCCTTGAGCTCAGCCATCTTTCTTTCTATCGATACGAATACCATTTGCTGCCTGGGAGCCAACCGCCTAGTGCCCATGGCTCAGCCCCTTCCCCAGGCTTTCACGCTGGGTCCCCGACTGCCCCCAGCTGGGCCTGCTGGGTTTCCATGCCATCACGCAGATGAGGGAACTGGGGCTTGGAAAGGGAGTTGGGGACAGGCCAGTGATCCTGGGGCAGTAGTGGGTTCACAGGGCTGGGCCTGGACTGGGTGAAGCCTTTGCTCCCCCCCCCTCCCCCCGCAACACACAGGTTCCCATTCCTGAGTGTCTGGCTGGCCCGTTGCCAAGGTCCCTCTCCTCCCTGGGAAAGCCTGAGTGAGATGCCTCAGGGCCCTTCCTTGACCCTGAAAGGGAGGGTGTGTGTGTGTGTGTGTGTGTGTGTGTGTGTGTGTGTGTGCCTTATCTCAGCGTAGATCTCTCTAATGTTCTCACTCCCACCCACCACCTCTAATTTAGGGGAGGGAGGGTGTGACCCACACTTCCCAGGCTGCCTTCAGCAGCCAGGAGGGGAGGATGAGGAGGCCTCCACTGAATAGTTGTCCCAGTGACCAAGGAACAGCGGTATACGCTGGTTTGAGTGGCCCAGGCTTCTCACTGGTCGTGATGCCTCCTGCCCGGCCTGGCTCCCAGGTCTTCACAGCTCCAATGGAACGGAACTTCTGCATCGTTCCTCCATCCCAGCAGGGTCCCTGGGACTTCAGTGTCCCTTGAAAGGCAGCCACTGACCTGAGCATGGCAGTCCCTAAAAGTTAACTTGTGTGCTTGCCGGGAGCACTTGGGGAGCGTGTGCCACCCTGGGCTATGAGCCCGGGTCCCTGTTTGTCACACCACCCTGTGGCTGGGTGGCAGAGGTGGGGGTGTCACTCTGCTGCCATTACTGTGAATAATGACACCTGTGTTGGGAGTGGGGAGCAGGCTTGGACATGCCTGGGGCTGAGAGGTGGTTGCTTCGCCGTAACCCTGTGTGGGAGACAGGCAGCTGAGGCCCTGAAACCTGTCCAGGAGGACTCAGCAGACATAGCTAGCGTTGCTGCTGGGTGGCACCCTCCAGCTCAGGAGTGAAGACATCCCCCCCCCCCCTTGAATTCAGGCTCTCTTCTTGACATGGCCTTAAAGCTGGGGGTTCTAGGTTCAGCTCCGACGGAGGCTGTTCAGGGCCAGTCATTCCTGTCGGGCAGCTCCTCTGCCCAGCTGTGCTCGCCCAGCAAGGAGGAAATAGGGAGGGATTCATAATTAGCTAGTAGCCAGAAGGTATTTTGAATGTAAATGAAATATACACCCTTCCACCCAATAAACACACACGATCTCTATACAAATGGGTTCAGTTTGAGAAAATCTTTAGGGTCACCCTGAGTAGTTAGCCAGACCTCTGCAGAGCATGTGGGTGCTGTACAGCTTTGGCTCCCTGCGGCAGATCGGAGGAGAGGGGCCCTGGCACACCCTCTGTGCTGGGAGACAGTCGAGAGAGCGCCTGCAGTGTGCCAGGGTCACTGAGTCCAGCGTCAACCCATTGCTGTAGAGTCCCTTCTGAGCCCGGTGACCCCCACGACAGAGTGGGACCTCCCCCAGAGGGCTTCCAAGGCCATTGCCTTGATGGAAGCCAGCTGCCACATCTCTGTCCCCCATTTGAGGCGCTGCCACCTGTTCAGCTAACAGCCGAGTGCTTATTCCCTGTGCCACCAGGGTCCTCGGGGTAACTGAGAAACAGGATCACAGAAATATTGCTAAACCTTTTCCATCGGTCACTTATCACTAGTGGCGATCCATTTGGGCCAGGCATCTTAGAGAGGCCTGCACTTGCTCCTCAGCCTGGCTGAGGCTGTAAGGGAGGGTCTTGCTGGACCAAGAGCCACGGGCGGGCCTGGGAGCAAGGCCTAGGCGGGGCCTTGTGGTCAGCTCCTGCGTCCTTGCGGCTGCCTCTGGGAGGTGCAGACAGTGAAGCTCCCCCTGCAACCACTTGGGTTTGGCTGGCCGACAGTGCCCCGCCCCACACACACACAAAGATAAGTCCTGTCTTTGCATCCTCCCCCTTTTGGGCCAAGGCGGCTCTGATCTGTTTGTTTTCATCAGGTTTGGAGGGATGGGAGCAGTGTTTCCCATATCTCATTCTGGTCGTGTCGTTGGGCCATGAGGGGTCGGGTCCAGATTCTCTACAGCTTGACATCTGCTAAGGATAAAACTCTTGCCTCTGGGTGTTGCGAAAGATCAGAGGCAGGGAACCAGGACCCAGTCAGAGGCTGCTGTGTAACCGCATCCCGATGCAAAGGGTAGTTGGGAGCCAAGCTGGGCACGGAGCTTCAGACCGGGCTGCCTGACAAGGTTCGAGAGCTGCTCCAGGTAAAGCCTCTTCACCGAGCAGCCTTTGGTAAACTAGTCTGTGAAGGCCCAGGTAGTAAATAATCGGGGCTTCCTCAGCCGGAGTGTCTCTGCGGCCGTTACTCAACAGTGAACACTAGTGTGAAAGCAGCCAGACGCTAGGTCAACAGACACATGGAACTGTGTTCCAGCAAAGCTTTATTTGTAAAAAAAAGTCAATTGGATTTGGCCCACAGACCACAGTTTGTCAACCTCTGTAGTAGAGGGTTCCAAGACGGCTGGACTTGTTTACTTTGCCTAGAATTTTTTGAGGGTAGTGACCTAGGCATTAGGCACTCGCTAACAGGAGAGTGAGTAAGGTGTCGTGGTTACGAACACAAACTCAGTAGTCACACTGTGGGCGTGAAGTCTGACTCAGCCACGTCTTCACTGACTGGCCAAAGCCAAGTCACTCACCCCCCACCCCCCACCCCCCACCGAGCCTTGACTTCCTCAGGGCTCACACGGAGATGGTCCTTCTGCAGGAAGCCAACCTGCTGCCTTCTAGTGGTCCCGACTCACGGTGACGCCCTCGGTGGCAGAGCTGTGCTCCACTGGGTCCTCAGTGGCTGAGATCCCCCAAGAGCCCGTTTCCAGGCCTTTCTTTCAAAGTGCCTGTGGGTGGATTTGAACAGCCAGTGCTTCCTTTACTAGCGCTTGACCGTCTTTTAGCAGGGTGCTTAACCGCGCCTGCTTCCTCACTGCTGTGGCGCCCATGCCGACTCACAGTGACCCTGTAGGACAGGATAGAACTGTCCCTACGGGGTCTGAGACTGTAACTCTTTACAGGAGTAGAAAGCCCCGTCCTTCTCCAGCGGGGCAGCTGGTGGTTTCAAACTGCTGACCTTGTAATTAGCAGCCCAATACATAAACACTAGGGCTCCTTCAGACTTCAATATGGAGATTGGATAATACATAGGAAAATGACGCACAATACCCATAGGAGCTGCTACTACCATTCCTCATCTTCGCTCTCACAGTTGGCAGTGCTCTGTGAATTCCCTTAAGTCTCCTCAAACCCCTTCTCAGGATCTGAAGGGCAGTGGCAGAAGTAGGTTCCCCCTGATTTCCTGGGGAGCAGCGGCTGCAGCCAGGAGCCCTGTGGGCCATGGATTAAGTATCCGGCTGCTTACCAAAAGGTCGGCATTTCGAACTCAGCAGTCCCTCCGAGGGAGAGAGAGGAGGCAGTCTGCTTCATAAAAGATGAAGAGCCGTGGACACCAGTGGGGCGGGCAGATCTTCTATGGGTCAGAATCAACTCTATGACGGCGGGCCGTTGCTGCGGCTGCTGGACCTTGTGAAGATGCTACGCTCCGTTTGCTGGGAGTGACTTTCAGTGTCAGCAGCTGGCGACAGGCCAGTCCTCCCACAGGACCGATCCTGCAGTCCCTAACCTGAGTCGAGTGCTGACAGCCCCGCAGCCCACTTGTCCTTCTCACACTGCTTCTGTGGCACACGCGAACTCCCTCTGCCTGGGGAACCCTGGAGTTGAGTCGTCTTGTGGTGTCAGAACAGCTAGCGAAATGGTTTTCATCTCCAAAGCGTCACACACACACACACACACACACACACACACACACTCAAATGTGGATGCTTTCCTCTGGCTTCTTTGGACAAAGGAAGAAACTGAGGCCCAGAGCTGAGAAACGGCCAGGGCCATCGCCGAATGAAAACCCAGATTTCCTACCTCCTAGTCCCTGATTCTTTACTTTTTCCCACTTCCAAGTAGTAAATTCGCCTTCAGTGTAGTACTTGGTTCACAGCAGGCATTTCCTTGGAAGGGGATGCTGTCTTGGAAGAGGAGGGACCAGGCCCGGGGTGCTGGGTATCAGGTCTGTGCAATGGGCCCCCTCACCTATTTACCTTCTCCCCCTGTTGTTTTTGCAGAGCTCAGTGCCTCGGATGACAGCTCCCTGTCAGATGGACTTCTCTTGGAGGAGGGTGAGTGGAGCAGCTTGGGGATGATTGTCAGTGCTGGGCGCCTACCACCAGGTCTCGGGGCCTTTGCAGGGCTTGCTCCTGAGAGTTTCAACGGGCGTGAAGCTTTCGCAGTCCAGTGGGCTGGTGAAGGCCAGGGTCTCAGATGGGATGTGAAGTCGATTTCCATGTGCTGCTCAGGTGAGGGTAGAGTTATGTTACCTCCCCCCTCCCCAAATTTTAAAAGATCCCTGGTGGTAATAGTGGGTTATGTGTTGGGCTGCTAACTGCAAGGTTTATGGTTTGAAACCAGCAGCCGCTGCTCAGGAGAAAGATGAGGCTTTCTACTTCTGTAAAGAGGTATAGTCTCGGAAACCCACAGGGCCAATTCTATCCTGAGTGGGAATCGACTCAACGACAGTGGGTTTGCCTTGGTTTGGTGGCACAGTGGGTTAAGTAGCGGGCTGCCGACTGACGGCTCTGTGGCTCAAACACACCGGCCACTCCTCGGCAGAAAGAGGGCGCTATCTGCCCCTGTATAGATGCACAGTCCTGGAATCCCCAGCGAGCAGTTCTCCTTGTCCCGTAGCATTTCCGTGTGCTGGAATACACTCCACAGCAGTGCGTTGGCCTTGGTTTTCCCAGTGTGGAAGCTGAGTGACTTTGGTGGCAGGGAGAGATGGATTCTGGGTGAGCCTATTGGCCTCTGGTGCCCTGCCTTCACCCAGAGCCTCCACCTTGCTGAGGTTCTTCTCCACGACATGCCTGTCAGAGCTGAAGAGTGACCCAGCCACAGGGGACCACCCTCCAGAGCCTGCCTTTTAGAAAAGAGGATGGCACTGGGGGAGGAAACACAGGGCCCCAGATGAAAAACAGGTTTGCAAACCCTGAAATGGGCCAAGAAGGTGGCACGGTGTGCCCGTGGGAGGACCCGGGCTAATAAGGAAATAGGCTACGTGGGCAGGGAGAGAACAAGAGAAATGGGTCAACAGAAAGCCAGCTGCCAACATGGGACCCGGGGGCAAAGGACAGAGTCCAGTCGTCGAGTTGGGCAAGTCCAGAAGAGGCAACCTGGAAAAGGCTTCTTGAAGGAGGGAGGTGTAAATAGCCCTGCGAGGGCAGAAGCCCCGAGGGAGGAGGAAGCACTTGGGAGCCTCAGGATCTGAGGCCCAGCCTGGAGCCATGGGACAAGCCAGCTCGGGGAAGGAGGGCAGGGACTGAACTGCTGGGGTTCTTGCTGGGCTAGTGCCCCCAGCCTCTGCCTCACCAAATTTCTTTAATCCCAGCAGAAGAACCTCAAGGGCCAAAACCTCCCCCAGAGGCTCCGGCTACACCTTCCCGGCCTCCCCCACCCCAGAGCCTTGAGGGGCTGCAGCCAGCAGGACCTGAGACTGGGGGCCTGGAGCGAGCCCCCATCCAGAATAGCCCCTGGAAGGAGACCAGCCTGGACCACCCCTACGAGAAGCCCAGGAAGTCATCTGAGCTCAGCAGCGAGTCTAGGTCTGGCTGGGAGGGAAGGCAAGAGGGAGGGATGGGAGCAGGCGGGAACTCTGCTGGGGGTGACCTGGGATTCAGTGTATGGAAGCTGAGTTGTGGGGGGGCATGGGAGAACACCCCTGGTTGGCTGAGTGCTGGTGGGTGTGTGAGCTGGCATGGAGACCCCCTTTTACTGGGTCCCCATTCCTCTGAGTGCCCTGAAGGGAGGCAATTCCTGCCACTGACTGGTCCCCTTTCTCTGCAGCAGCCCAGCCACCACACCCCAGGATGGGCCCAGCATGTCCAGTCTGTGGCTGCCAGAGCCGGCCCCCTTCCACGGGGTCCCCACCCTCAGCATTCCTGGCCAGCAGCAGGGCCACATCAGTGCCCCAGCCACCCCCGAGATGCAGGGGAGGAGGGGCCAGTCGCAATCTCTGCGGTAAGAGACTGCGGGGCCAGGGCTTACAGTTGGGGGCTGGTAGCCTCTAGAAGCATCTAGGACTCCCCCCGATGCTGCACGGCTAACACCCCGGCGCTCCCTCAGAATGTCTTCCTGGAGCGGCCCTCTGTAGATGTAGGGTCAAAGGCGAGTCGTTTTCATACAGAGCCTCCAGTCCAGGGGTGTTTGGGGTTTTTTGGGATAAATTGATTCGGGTTTCTGACCTTTGGCCTGTTCTCCTGTGCCAGCAGATATTTTTTGCCATCATTTTATTCTTGGTCACTGGATCCCCGGTGGCGTAGTGGTTACGTGTTGGGCTGCCAGCCGCCAAGTCAGCAGTTTGAGGCCACTGGCCATGCCAAGGGAGATGGATGAGCCTTTCTCCTCCCATCAAGAATTAAATGACCTTAAAAAAAAAAAAGAATTACAGTCTGGGAAATCCACAGGGACTGTTCTACCCTGTCCTTTAGGGATGACTAATAGCAGGGAATTTGGTGGTGCACCTTAGAAACGGACACTCCCTTTGGGCTGACACTAAGGACGGCGGGCGGTTTGCAGCCCCGTGGAGCTGCCCTGTGTGTGGCTAGCTGCCCTGGGGACCACAGACCGCTTTTATGCATTCACCTGACCATACCCTCCTGGGCAGATGGTGCCCACGAAGTGCCAGTGAGCACAGCAGTGTGCCTAAAGTGGCTGGGCAGACATGACATGTCAGGTAGCCTGCTGTACAGGGACAACAGTGTACGAGTGACTTAGGGACTGCTTTCCTGCGGGAGTAGCAGTATCCACCGTGGCTGAGTGACCCGGCGCCCGAAGACCCAGCACACAATGGTGCCCCAGCACCAATGGTGTCCCTGTGGTGGTTTTTTTTCCCCAGAAATGGCTCTCTAGGCCTTGCTGCCTAGGTACTTCAGAGTGGGCCCTTTGCAGCACTCAGGGGCTCCCTGCAATGTCAGGGTGTGTTAAATCCTGGCATTGGGTGTTTGTCTGGGGGAGGGTTGCTTTAAGGTGCATCATGCTTGGGTAAGATGCCCTGGTCCCTCGGCCTGCGCTGTTGAACCGCCATCGCTGAGCTTCGGTGTGGCCCCTTCCTCCGCAGGGTGGACGCCTTCCGCGTGGGGCTGGAGGGCCGGGGCCGCAGCGCCTTCCCCCGCCGCCGCCCCACTCACTACACGGTGACCGTGCCGGACTCCTGCTTCGCTGTCCCGAAGCCCCCTGTCTACCACTCCTGCTCGGAGGACAGCGGCTCGGACGTCTCCAGTATCTCCCACCCCACCTCGCAGGGAAGCAGCAGCCCGGACATCTCCTTCCTGCGGCCCCTCTCCCCGCTGGAGCTCCCTCACCACCACGGGGCTTGGGTCCTGACCACCGGCGGGAGAGAGCTGGTCACTCACTACCCCCAGCTGCTGTTGCCTCCCGGCTACTTCCCGCAGGCAGGGCGCTACGTGGTGGTGGCCGAGAGCCACCCTGCGGCGTACGAGGAGGAGGGGGCGCCCCTGCGCTACCAGCGGCTGGTGGCCGCGCACAGCCGCATCGTGCGCACGCCCTCCCTGAAGGACAGCCCCGCGGGCCGGGGGCTCAGTAAGGCGGCCGTCACCGAGGAGCTCAGGAGCTGGCACGAGCGCGCGCGCCTGCGCAGCATTCGCCCCCACTCGCTGGACCGGCAAGGGGCCTTCCGCGTCCGGAGCCTGCCCCCCGGGAGAGAGGGCTTCCCTCGAGCCCTGGGGGCTCGCACTCAGGTACCGACGCTTCGAGGGGTGGTCTAGGCCAGGCAGAACCCCCCTCGTGGGCTAGCCGGCTCGGGCAGGTGCAGGAGCAGAGAGGGACAGAATGCTGCAGCCTGGTCCCCAGCTAGGGACAGTGGGTGGAACATCATTTCCTCTTGGCTTTGTGAGTCTTCCTGGATTCCTTGAGGCACCGTGCTAATTTCGCCTGCCACGGCTAGCCACAGCACATAGCAGTGTGGCTCACGGAGATGATCTTTGAACTGACTTATTCCTTTCCCCGTCTTCCCCCCACCCCCACCCCCATGGCCTCAGAGATAATACACAAAACCCTTCACCCTCTGTTTGCAACTGAGGAGCCAATACGAATTTGCTGGGTGGAGTGAAAACCCAGGGTTCCTGAGGTGGACAGATGGCTGCAAAAGGCAGAACCAGAGGATGGGTGCTGGCCAGCTTCCTCCATCATCTCCCCAGCCCCACACCAAGCATCAGGCTTGCTTAACTGTGGCGCACAGCTCTCAAAGCTCAGACCCGCTACTTACAAGCTGTCTGAGGAGATGAGTTACTTAGCCCCTCTGGGGCTCTGTTTATTCTTCTGTAAAATGGGCATGGTAAGATTCCTATCTCCTAGGGGCCGTTGAGAAAGGAGTTAACCTTAGCACATAGTTAAGTCTCAAAACCAATCTCACTGCCTTCCGGTCGAGTCGCACTCAGAGCAAGTGTGTAGGGCAGGGTCAAGATGCCTCTGGGTTTCCAAGACTGTCACTCTTTGTGGGAGTAGAAAGCCTCCTCTTTCTCCCTCAGGGAGGGCTAGTGGTTTTAAACTGCCGACCCTTTGGTTGCCAACCCAACTTGTAACCCGCTACGCCACCTGGGCTCCTCATAGCAAGGACTCGAGAAGTGATAATCTCCTCCTCCAGGGCCCTAGCAGCCAGGCTCCAGGCTGGGGTTTAGCAGAGAGGATAGAGCACTCAGGCATGAAACTTGGCGGTCACTCTGGTTTCTCTGCACCCGGCTTCATGATTCAGGAAGTGGGGCTGACAGCACATGAGTCCATTCTTTATTCCTTCTGCTGGTACGGAGTACTCTACGGGGTCAAGCTCCACACGTTCCCAACAGATTTGCTGCTCTGAAACCCAATCATCCCAGCAGGCCTAGCTGGCCGCATGTGCCTCCCCCACCCACCTGGCACCCTGCGCCTGGCAGCACCCTGGCCTCCCTCCCCAGCTGCACCCTCCAGCTGACGTGCTTTTCCCTCCATTCGAGCTTGGACCTGCCCTTGGCCTCGGTCCAGCCCTGCCTAGCCTGTCAGACAGGGAAGGTGACAGAGAAGTGAGCCTGCAAAAGGGGGAGAAGGAAGTCAGGGTGCCTGTCAATCCCCAAAGATGCCTGGAGTGGAAGACGGGCCAGGGTGATCTGAGGGGGCAATGAACCTCCTTGGGGCAGGCGGGGGTGGGGGTGGGGCGGGGCAGAGGCTGAAGCGCAGAGCTGGGGCAGTGCAGATCACCACCCTGGAGGGGTGGGGTGGGGTGGCGCACTTGCTGTCTGGACTATCTGCCTCACTCACCCCGCTCTCTCCGTTCTTTTTGGCCCTGGCAGGTCCCTACCGTGTGTGTGCTCCGGCGATCACCTGAAGGTGCCCCTGTGCAGGTCTTCGTTCCTGAGAATGGAGAGATCATCAGCCAGGTGTAACCAGGCCAGGTGTCCCCTGGGCCCCACGGTTGGAGAAGACTCTTTCATCTCAGGGCCAGGCCAAAGCCCACCCTGCCCCCTGAGCATCTCCCTTAAGCTGCCTCACCCGCATCGCTGGCCGATGGCCTGGAGCTGAAGCTTTTGGGTTTTTTACTCTTTATTTTTGTAACAGTTTTGGCACAGAAGCCCTGGCTTGAGGACCTATATGCCTTTTGTCCTAAGATCACTGTCTGTATGGAGATTGTGTCTTAAGGCCTCAGAGACTGGCCTCCTGGACTTGAGGCCCTTGCATACCTGCCTGACAGCATTTGCCTCCTTCTGCAAGACAAGTGGAGGGCGTTTGAGAATACCCTGGGCTGTCTCTGGGCCCCTCTGATCTGATCTTCTATGAAGTGGTTCCAAGAGCTTGCCCAGAGACCAGCCCCTGTTACAGGTGGCACACACGCACAGGTTTCTCCCGATCTCCCGGGTTTCTGGGTACTATCAGGATCCACCCCCTCCCACTCCACCCTGGCCTGGGCCAGGGGGAGAACTCCCCCCATCCCTTGTATAACGTGCTCTGTGATGCACACATCAATCTGTTGACTGTAAAGGTCAGTGGTGGAATATTGTCTTCCTGGCCTTGACTCCTTTCTCGACCTGTAAGCCTTTTGTAGGGGTCTGACTTCCCCTGCCCTCTCCATGGCCTGGTAGCACCCAGCAACTCTGTTCTACTTGGACCCCACATCCTGTGTTTGCGGCGTCACCAGACTGTGGCATCCGAGGGCAGGGCTGGGGCTGGGACCATCCGTGGTGTCAGTCGATGGAGAGCGAGCAGCCCACCGTTTGGTCACCCTCTCTAGGTGTCCTGTGGACTTGCAGTTCCACTACACCTTGACCTCTGTTCTTCATAGTCCTAGAAACCAACAAACCCCAAACGTTACCAAGTTATTTGGAAGGGCACCCCTCTTTTGTGACATGTTCTCAAAAGGATCGCAACCCCTACTCCCCACCCAGCGCGACTTCTGCTCTGAGTTTGTCCATTTCTCTTGAAAGAGGGAGCATCCGTGGTGGTGGTGCAGATCTAGACATTTCCGCCCCGCTCCCTGGTGAGCTCAGGCTTTTCCTCTAGAAGGCTTCACTTCCCTGCCCCAGGTGCCCAGGTGCAGGCTTGGAAACTGCCGTGCAAAGGAGAGCCATCTGATGGTTCCTGGGGTCTCGCGTTCTGGGTCCTTCTTTGCTATCACGTCAGAGTCCTAAATAGGGATCGAGCTTCAATGAGAAAGCAGCTGTCCTTAGGCGACTTGGTGAGGGCAGGGCGAGTTGAGTTCTGAACTTGCCCACAGTCCAGAGACTGACTGAAGACACTAAAAACGTTGATGTCTGACACAAAGGAGCCACAGTTCTTCCGAATGGGATTGCGCAGGGCGCTAGGGGAAGAACAAGGCAGCCTGGCAGAAGGAGAGGGAGAGGGCTCTGGGGGAAAGTCCCTGGCATTTCCTCTCTGTACCCTGACTGCATCCTGCTCTTCCCCCAGCCCCTTTGGGCTGACCTTGCTTCCCATTATATTCACGTGCCTTTCCCCCACTTTGTCTCAGCCCCTTCCTCCAGGGTACGACCACCCTCTGCTATCCAGAGCTCCTTGGGCTGAGCCAGGAGACAATCAAGTACTGCCCTCCCCAGCTGAGGGCTCCTTCTATTAACTTATTGGTCATACCTGATACATGGTATACTCAGCTGCAGGGCTAGAACTGTGTGGGTTTTAGTGCCAAACACATCAATAAAGTCTGTTCTTTGTGATTGGTTGGCTGAGCTGGGGATGATGGATTTTTTTATTTGGTGCCAAGTTTCCGTTCCTCAGGTGCACACCCAAGGTGGGGAAGTCACTCGACCTCTCCAGCTGGTTTGGCCAGGTCCCTGTGGGGTGGGAGAGGGAGGACCTCAGGTTCTCTGCCTCCCTGATGGGGTGGAAGCAAGCTGTCCACTCCCGCTCTCCACCCCAGTCAAAAAGCTAGAAGGCCTCTTCCGAGTCTAAGGAGCTGCACGCTGGGCTCACTTCCCCCACAAGGACAGTGTCATGTTCATTTCTGGTGCAGACTGGTAGGACGGCCAAGGCTAAGGCGCTTAGTCACTCTCTAGGTCTGGAGCTGAATGCACCTCTGCCTTAGAATAGTCAGTCATCTAAGCTCCAAGTGCACCATTTCCTGAAGGACAAAGTCCAGAGGGTTAGGGACAAAGTAGGAATGCACACAGGAAAAGCAACAGCCACGCTGGCTGAGGGGACTGCGATGGATGAGTGGGATCAGCATGTGTCTGAAATGCTGACTGCAAAGCTGTGACCCGCTCTGCCAACCTTCGCCTAATTCACAATAAAAAGAGCGAGTGGAAAGGGGATGAGTAACTACGTCCGTGAACAACTGTCTCCTTTGCCAGGAGACCAGAAGAACTGGATGGTGGTTCCCGGATACCACAACTGAACATGTTGACCCAAGCTTCCTTAAGAGTGGAAGTGAGCATTTAAAAGAATTTATTCCATTTTGCTGAAAATGGATACATTGAAGCATAAGCCAACTATCATTTCTACCTGTGCAGCTCAGTCCACGGATGTCTAAGCGCTTGCACTGTCCTTCCCTGGCAGCCTCAGGAAGGCTGGTGTCTGCTGGGCGGGGCGGGGCAGTGGTTAGAGATGATGAGCTAGATGTTATTAGAGACGAGGTGTGGTTCGGGATGAGTCTCCAGCCCCTTGGGAGCTGTGTCTGGAGCTCATGAGTAGAGGTCCTCATGCGGAAGAGCCCCTTCCTTCCCCAAAACGGACACTCTAGGAACCTTCCTCAGAGGGTATGTAAGCATCTGGGTAGACTATTGAGTTTTATATAAAGGGTAAGTGTACATTCAGAAAGCATCCCAAACCAGTCCAGTCCAAGCCCATAAGTCCGACATTAGCACATATGTCTGACATCGATCTACAAAGTCCTCCTCAAACTCACAAAACACACAATGACACCGACTGCAGGAGGAAAGTTGAATCAGTGACGGTGTAAGCGTCTCAGCGCTGGCAGGGGTCTCCACACTGCTGCTCCGGCACACAGGGCTGCATCGGGTAGGTCCATGTGGCTTCTCCTCAAGGATGCCTCGCAGGAAGTGAGCCTTGCCGGCTGAGGCAGAGAACTAGCTAAGGCCGCTGCACGCTGGTCAGACCATCAGAGAACAAGAGATAAGAAAAGTGAGGCTCACTGAGCCATTTATCTATCTGCCCTTTAATTAAACTGCCCTTCAATGAATACCACATGTGTTCATCGGCCAGGTTGGCACAATAAACCTATCACACAGGGGGATGGGGATGGCTCCCCACAAGCCCCACTTTTCCCTGGAAGGAGGGTTCTGTGAGTCCATCCATATCCCGACCCCACCTCCAGCAGGGGTCCTGGGGGTGGGCTGCAGGGAGCTCCTCGGCACTGCACTACCCTGTCTGACCTGCAGGGGGCGCTCCAGGCACAGAGACACTGCTGAACTATCCCCTCTGACCTGCAGGGGGCGCTCCAGTGCCTGGAGCTGCCTGTGACCTGGATCTGAGAGGTGAACAGTCCGTCAGGTAGAGAAAGGGGTCCTGCTCACTGTTCTCCCCCCACCCACTGCCCCAGCACAGGAAGGGGCAGAGCAAATAGGGCCTGGGCAAACAGTGAGGTGACCCCAGCCCTGCCCGGGGAACCCAGGGGCTGGCATGTGAGGGCGGTGGGGATCTGTGGACTCCAGGGGCCTGGGGCAGTGGGCTGTACGTGGAGGCCGCTCCAGTCTGGGCTCCAGCAGTCTGGGCACTGCTCTCCGACTCTGAGTCTCTCGTCTATGGATCGCAGGGAGTGGGATGCCCAGTTTGGAGTTTCCCATCACCGGGACCAGTTAGGTGCAGGGCCAAGTGCTCGCAGGACCTCGGGGAGTGACCTGCCTGAAGACAGGACAGACTGAGACCCACTGAGGGAGCCTCCCTCACTGAACCAGGGCTGGGGGTGCGCACATGGGTGTCCAGGGTACGGAGCATGCACATTGTGTCCAGTGCACGGTATACACACACCATGTCCAGTGTCCAGTGTGTGCCCTCGGGTGTGTCCAGTGGCATGTGCCCATCTGGGGCCCCACGGCTTAGGGCTGAGAGAACCAGGCTGTGGAGCTGTGTCTCACTGGTTCACAGACAACTTACCCTGTGTCATGTCTGGGAGGGGCAGGCATGTGGAGGCTCTTAGTCCCCTACTGTATAGGGCGAAAGTGGGACTATCAATCGGGAAATGAGGACAGAAGCCTCTGGAAAGAGGGGGCCTTACCCCAGCAGCAGAGGGTGGACAGTGGCCTGCAGTGGTCTGAGATCTCCCCTCCCAGGGACAGCCCTCAATGGAAGACTCCTTGGCCAGCGAGATGAACAGGGCCCAGTCGAGGGTCCCGAGTCTGAAATGGGAAGGAAAGGGAAGCAGACAGCAGGACCCTGCACACCCCCCAACCCCCCCACCCACACCCCCGGCCCTGCTTAACCAATGCCCTTTCTCACAAATGGCCAGCTTCACCCCTGGAGCAGGTAGAGAAGCTCCCTCCCCAGGAAGGAGGATTGAGCTTGGACTGGCTCTGTTTTCCCTACAGCTACAGACTGCTGCCCTGCACGCCCAGATGAATCTGAATCCCAGAAAGACAAAACAGAGAGTAAGCTTCAAGCATGCCGTTTCCCATGACGTTTGGAAGCCGAATGTAACAGGTAAGTGGTTGGCCCTGGACAGAGCGGCCTCTCAGCTCTGGGTGGTGGCTCTGGGAAATTCAGATAGCCAGACCTTTGGTGAAACAATATTGGTGAACAGGCCTGCCCACTTGAAGCTGTCCTTTTCAGAGCTCCCAGCTCTGCCTCTTGTGCCTTCAGACCTATCTCCATTAAAAAAAAGTCAGATCACATCACTCACTTACATAAAGCCCTCTCAGAGCTCCCATCTCATTCAGAGCAAAAGCTCCAGTTCTGACAATAAACCATACAGCACTCACGATCTGTCCTACTACCAGTCTGCTTCTGCTTCCCAGAGCAGGCCAGGCGTGATCCTGCCCCAGGGCCTTTGCATTTGCTGTTTCTTGGGCCTAGAATGTTCCATTTTTGTATCACTTGCTCCTCCTCAATTTAAGTCGTATTGGGATTCAGTCAGGGAAACAGTCTCTGGCCTCCATGTATTTGTAGATACAAACCAATCTGGGTAAATGCAAAAATAAATAAAATTAGAAGGGTACCTAGCAGTGATTCTTGTGATGCAGCCCCTGGGATATAAGCTCTATGACAGCACGGATTTCTGTCTTCCTTGTTTACTGCTGTGCCCGAAAGTAGGAGCTCAGTCAATGGATACTGGAGAATGAATGAATGGATTGAATTTCTACTATGTGCCCACGATTAGTCCAAATCCTTTTCGGATGCATTAATTCACTTCATCCTCACAACAGTAGTACCCGAAACAAAACATAAAAAGTGCACACGCAAAACCCACGACCACCGAATCAATTCTGACGCACAGTGGCCCTATAGAGGGTTCTAGGACTGTCAAGCTTTGGGGGAGCAGACAGCCTCACCTTTTTTCTCTGGAGCAGCTGGTTGGGTTTGAACCACCAACCTTGGCGTGAGCAACCCAAAGCCTAGATGCTGTAATTATCATCCCCATTTTAGTAATGACAAAACTAGCCCTTGGGAAGTTTCTTCGCTCAACATAACTCTTTACATGTGTTGGTATCTTCACACCAGTGATAGATGTTGTCATGTTTCCCATAGTTGAGTTCTGGGTGGTACAAATGGTTCCTGTGCTTGGCGGTTAACCAGGAGTTTGGGATTCCAGTCCAACCAGAGGTGCCTCAGAGGGAAGACCTGGCAACTTACTCCTGAAAGATCAGTCGTTGAAACCCTGTGGAGATCAGTTCTGCTCTGACACCTAGTGGAGTCCAAGTCAGGATGGACTGACTGTCATTATTTTCCTCCATCCCCATTATGCTGCATTGACTCTAAGCACTATGCTGCTTGGCTTTAAGCCCCTACCCCCTCTCCCTGGGTGCTCATTTTACAGGGCAAGGAGGCCTGTGCTGCTTTGAGCCTGAGCTCTGCCACCATCTCCCTCCTTGTGCCCTTCCGACTCCCGTCTCTGTGGACTGATTTTACCTCTAGCCTCCCAGGTTCTGTTTCTACACTTGAGTCCCAGCCCAGAGAAGCCTGTCCTAGTTGACCAGTGATGCTCCAAGGTTGACTTGGACTTTCAAGTCCATTCCCAACCAGGATTTCAAAGCCCACTAGGGACAGCCCCAGGAACATATGTCCACTGGGTGTGCCTTACAGGCCTGTCTTCCCAACTGTCACCATCCCCGGGCAGGCCTGACACCAAATATCTCTCAATGACGCCCCTCCATGGTTGCCTTTCCATTTTGACGTTTGAGGTTGATGCTTGGCCCCGGCCTGCAGAGGCTGGCTCCTGGGCCAGGAGACCTACACCACACTCTGAGGGGTTTGGTGCTTTCTGAGGGTCACTGGAGCTGGTGGTGGGAGTCTCTGCTGAATTTCTATTCCAGCTGATAAAATGAGCCAAACTCTGCTGACACCATCTCTTTTCAGGACTGCGCCAGTCAGAACAAGAGGCCTATCAGTTCATTCTGGAATTTATATCACTGGAAGAAACGGTAAGAGGATGATCTGGGACTTGAAAGACTGAGAACAAAAGCGGAAAGCACCAGGAGCCAGGCCCCCTTGACTTTTGAGTACTAGCCCTGGCTTGGAAGCCGCCTAAGATTCAACTCGCTGTGGCCTCCAACCTGGG